GGAGTTCCTTTGTCCTGTCACATGCTCTCTGACCTCAAGGAACCCAACAAGGTACCCAGTCATTGTCTGGCTTCCCTTAAACTCATCTTAAGTCAGAAGAGCACAAGAAGGTGGCGAGCCAGTCAGCTCTGTACAAATGCTTCTCAGAAAAGAGCATCTTCTTTTGATTTTAAGACAAGGTCTAACTGTGCAGCCCAGGGTAGCCCTAAACTCACAACCATGACTTTGCCTCCTTGAGTGTTTGTTTGGATTGCAGGCAGGTGTCAGCCGTCTCTGCTGATATGGTACTCTTATCAAGTTCCTGTGTTTGGCTAGTAGGCTAGTGGGTGTCAAACCATACTGACCACCATCCCTGATGTGATGGGTATTGATCAGTGGTTCTCACTCTTCCTAATGCTGTGACCCTTTAATACAGTTCATGTTGTAGTGACCCACTAACCATAACAGTATTTCATTGCTACTCCCTGTCATTTTGCTAGTTATGAACCATAAATGTCTGATATGCAGGATATCGCCCCAGAGGTTGAGAATTACTAGTGTAGAGGAGGCACAGTACAACCTCCTGAGAGCAGGACACCAGGGCAGCAACCATTGTTCCCAGAGGGCACTGGGGATTCTGATCCTGATCCTTGGTACTGTGTCTTTCTCCAAAGGGTTTTATGAAAACGGAATTGAAAACCCGCCACTCCCATCACCAGCAGGCTGAAAGCCCTGCACCTGGGGTAGCAAGCACCAGAGGCATTGCTGGAGCATGATGTAGCACTCCACCGAAAAACATAAATAAATCCCCCAGCCCTCGCACACATTTATCCAGTTTGTGAAGTGGATTAATAGAATAACCAATAAAACATGTATAAAAGCTTTAATTAAATGTGATGAAATAAAACTTCATGTTTTATTTATGGACACTCCCAACATGTAAAGGATTCAGGGAGACATTCATTTTTACTGCCATTTCGTCCTCATATCTATAATTAAATCCAGGCTTCAGTTCTGGCCCAAAGCGATGCGGCATTTTAAAGCTGGCCTTGGAACTCCCCCCCCCCATCTGCCTTTAATTATAATCACCATCCCCAATACAGAGGAGGCTGGTGACAGAACAGAACAATAAAACAAACAAACAAACAACGCTGGTTACCATTGTGTTTTAAACCGACGCGCTGAAGGAGTGCTTCAGGCGGGAGGGGCATCCTCAATTTCCAGTTTTATTCCGTGCCAAGTACACAATCCCTTCATTTTACTTTTGACATTAAAAAAAAGACTTCATGAAACGAGACAAAATAACTTATGATTATATGAAACATAACTGTGACAAATCGTAAAACTATACATATTAATAGAAAAAAGTGTACCTAATTCCTTAAAAGATTTACGACAATAAGCACCACATGTGCCCCTACCGTCAAACTGGCCCCATATCCAGTATGATATACGCAGCTCATTTCTCTACATGAGTGTATAGAAAAATGTACAAGGGCCTATGTGATTTATGGAAAACAGATTTCCACCCACCCCCACCCCCAAAGTGCTTTATGTCAGCAACATTACAGAGGACGCTTCTCTGTCTGTACAAAATAAATCTCTTCATTTGAACGCACGCCATTTTCTCCAATGGGTTCAGTTTTCTCTGTCTCTGTTACTTTATCCATGGCAATAACAACATTGATCTAAACAGTCAAATCAAATCAAACACCCAATAATAAAACTGAACATTGTCAATACTTGCAGGCAATAAGAGGATGGGAAGGGGGTGTGGGTTATGTGACAGGGAGACAGGTTAGCCCTGTCCTAAGCTCGCAGTAGTGGACTAGTGCATTTGGCAGATGGTCATTCAAGGACACGGAATATAACCAACACTTTTGTCAGGAGACTTTCTCCCTAGGTCTTCCAAATAACTTGTATTCCACTTAAGACTCACCTGGGCCATGTGGTGGAGACCCAAGTAAAGGAGCATCTCTCACAGGGCCAGGGAATAAATGGTATTCAAGCGCTGATCAGAGGGTACATTACAAGTGACACTTTGAAGCAGTCCCTTTAGGGAGTTATGACTATGGATAAAGGCATATGTCCCTAGTCATAATGACCTTTTTCTTAAGGAGTAAAATAATAGGCTTTGTGCTGTGTGTGTTTCCAGGAGCGCTAGTTTTTGTTGTTTGTGTTTATGTTTTTAAAGCAGAATGACAATTTCCATTTGGATGTTTATGAAAATGGCTAACCATTAGGACTAAAAGGCCTAGGAATGGAAGGGAATAATTATGTTTTCAAGCTTCGTTTTCATTGTTTCAAAATACAGATGGAACTGTGAAGGCCAAAGTAAGCCAAGAACACATTTCAAGCTGAGGAGAAACTCTGGAGCCTAAGGACAGACAGCTTGTACAGTCTGAAGGACCCAGTATGTGTCCTGACTCTAGGCCCTATCCCCAGACCAGTAGCTATGAGGAAAACACTAGAGGGTCTTTGAAGGGCTGCACTGGCCTAGCTCCACTCATGCTTTCTGATAGCAAGAACATCCCTCTGGGGCTGGATTTGGAGCTGGCCTAGAGGTCTGACCTAGTAAGAAGGCCCTGATGACACCAGGTTTTCCACAGATCCCTCCTACCTAGGTGACCTAGGCAAGGCAGTGTCACATGGAAAGCCACCAGGAGTCCAGAGCCTGGCTCCCAGGCCTCACACCTCTACTACAGGGAGAGATGTCATGCATGGTCTGTGGTTCCATTCCTCGCTGTGACTCCTCCTCCATGTACACATCCATAAGGCAGGGCAGAAGAGACTGGCTGTAAGGCCACAGTGCCTCTCCTCTCTTGCTTCCTCATCATCCAAACAAAGTATGTATGCTTGGAGCCCCGTGTACAAGCTTTAGGGTTTAAGAATGGACCAACACTTCTCAAAGAATGGAGAGACGCTTCTCCAGAGAGGGGTCTCTTTTCTTTCTAGAGTGTGACAGAGGTCTAATGAGGGTAATGAGAGTCGTTATCAAATAAGCCAGTGTCAGAGTATGTGTGTTGTGTATGTGTGTTGGTGCTTTGAGCAAGTGTGACAACACAGGAGCTCTAGTGAGCAGAGGAAGTCGGACATGGTTCCTTCCCTAAAGCTCAGAACAACAAAGAGAATTTGAAGTCTTGTGACTTAGAAGCTTGCACGATAGGTTCCCCAAGAATACGGCCTCTTCAGCAACACCAGGCCAAACAATGTGCTGTAAAAGAACGAAAAAACCAAACCAAACCAAAAACCAGAAAACAAACAAACAAACAAACAAACAAAAAAAAAGCAAACAAAAAAAAGAAAGAAAAGAGAAGCCACACTTGGTTCTTCATCTGCTCCATTCCGTATTCATTGCCATCTTGGAATGAAGCACGACATGAGGTGGAACTCTTCTGATTTGGGGAGACGCTCACAGGCATGTCTATGAGGAGAGCAGCAGTCTCAGGACCCACATCTGACACTGAGCTGTTTAACTGTCTCATTGAAAGTGATACTAAGCCCAGTTTCATGAAGAATTTTGCTTTAGTTCTATTTAAAACAATTTTTTTAAAAGAGAAAAAGATTCCAAAATGTGGGTGAGTCAGAATGTTGGAACTGACCAGGTTATCTGGAGTCTGGCCTATATGCGTATCCTTTCCCTTAGACACAGGGCCTTTTAAAGTGTTTTTCTAAAAATGTCACTAGAAAATGATGTCTTATTTAGGCTTATCACAGTTTTATGCTCTGAAAAATTCCAGGCCTTTGAAGCAGAGTTTCAAAGCATTGCCTTCTTTGAACCTTCCCAAAAGTTGATAAAATTTGATGGATTGTCAGCATGTGTGACCACAGTCAGGAAAAAGGGAGAGAGTATGTATAAACAGAAAATGGTGGCGTACAGAAGACAGGCAGATGACTGGGTTGCCTTAGGAAACACACAGACCACACAAAATAACTGGACAACAGGTGCCCTAAGTTTGGCTTTCTGGACAAACCCACACACTTGACTCAATGTGTCCCCTCTTTTTGTCCCAGGCGGAGCAACAGAGCAAAGGTCATGCATGAACCCTCCAAATGAAAAGGCTTCCAAGGTGGGAACACTGAACAATCATACGTGAGAGGTATTTTTATTGAGACAGGGTTTTGCTATCTAGCCCTGGCTGGACTGGAACTCACTGTGTAAACCAGGATAGCTTCAAACTCAGAGTACCTTCCAAGTGCTGGGATTATATGTGTATATCCCTACACTAAGCATATGAGGATTCTTGCTAATAATAATAATCCTGGAGGCAGGTGTGTGTGCGTGTGTGCGTGTGTGTGTGTGTGTGTGTGTGTGTGCATGTGCGTGTGTGTATACTATTCTGTTTCCCTCAGATAACCTTTACTAAACTGTAAAAGTAGGCCAGCAAGAGCTGCAGCTGTGGTAAAATACATGTACCTGGGGGTGATTAAACTGGTAATGACATCTACCAAAAGAATAAACCTTTAAATATTTTTCCTTTAAAAGTAAATGTAAATAGTAAGTCTTTAAAATTAAAAAACAAAGAAGGTTATGGAATATAAAACCTTATTTTGCCGTTGGAGAAGCAACTGAGAAGCAACTAGTTAGCATGGGCTATGTAAGACAAATGGTAAAGCCAGAGTTTGAGAGAGCCCAAGGCAACACAGTGCTTTGGACATGGATTTCCCCCACCGTTCATGGCTGTGCATCACTCAGCCACAAGAGAAAACCTGGGCAAGGCAGCACATTTTGCCTCTGGTACCCAGGCTGTCTTCTCCTCTGAGAGTCTTTAGCAAGGGTCATCCCACTCTTGTGCATATTCATTGGTGTCTTTTGGGAGCTGACAGTCTGGAAGTAACAGGTATCCTTAAAGTGAGACTCTAAATTCCCTTTGAAAAGAAATTCCTGCTGCTCACCTGGCCCAGCAAATTGAGGGAAGATGGAAGAGGTGCAAACATTTCTGAAAAGCCAAATCTGACCATCCAGTCCTGCCTTCCACAGTCCTAGCGACCCTACTGGCTCCATGGATTTGGTTGGCGTTTTTCACACGGCTTGTGAGAGTAAGAAAATAAGAGGTGATGAGTTACTCAAAGGTCCCAAATGTGCAGGAGAAGCCCAGGTGCTTTCAGCCTTCAGTATACACAGAGGAGAGCTGGCTAGGACAGCGGTCCACAGCACTGAGCTGCAAGAACGTGGGATCCTCGGGGCCACTTCGAAGAGATTCCCCAAAGAGGCTTGAGGAAGCTGAAGGCAAATCGTACACTGGAAGAGAGAGAACACAGGCAGTCAGTTTCAGCACTCTGCAGCCCCAGTGGCTAGCCAGGGCATCTGTGCCATCTACAAGATGCTGGTGGGAGCTAAGGAGGAGCTATGGCTTAGGCCTCCTAGGTGTGTCCCTAGGGAACAGAATGGGAGGAGACGATAGCTTGCATAGACTGGGCTCAAGTGTCCCTTAACACAAAATATGCCCTTCGAAGAAGTGAAAGTGTTTTAGGGAGGAATGAGGGTGACCTGAGAAAGGGGACAACAGTAGACCCATGGGACAGAATGGGGTTCACAGACAGTAAAGGAAGGAGATAGTATTCCCAAAGAAGGAAACAGAGCGAAGGCAAAGGAGGAGGGACACATGGGATCAGGAAAGTGAGTTTATACCAGGGTAAGGGTGACCGTAGGGAAGATTCTCGCAGGCAGAGTGGAGAACCTGACTAGGAAGGCATGTGATTCTTGATCCTGTGCCAGGGAAGAAAGCTTGAGGGTTGATGAGACTGCACATCATTCAGATATTATACCAAGAACGCGGCCCAATTCATCACGTGGGTTAGCAAGCAATGCCAAAAGGGTAGAATGGCAAAGAGAAGGAACACTGGGAGGCTTAACGGGGAGGAACTGTTGCAGCCTAGGGGAGAAATGCTGCCCTCTGTGCAGGCTGGGAAGAAGGGGAGAATCAGGAAGTGAGATAAAGGTGGAAAGCATCTTAGGAGCAGTCCAGGTGGATTCCGTACTGTTCCTGCCAGACACGAAAAGCAGCTGGCCTCTCATTTGGTTGGCTATGCCACAGACACCCACCTGTGATGCCCGAGTGTGTTGAGAAGGCTCTGTGGAAAACATCAAGACTGGCTTGACCCACGGATGTGGGGACTAGGCAGTCCTCAAAGGCAGGCATCATGCTGCAGGAGCTGCTGGGTGGCACAGTTCTTTGGGAATCAGGATAATGCGGGGGGCAGAATGTCTGCAGCTGGCCATAAAATCCTGAAAATATAAACACTGTAATGAGCTTTTTCAGGACAGAAACCATCCCTACCCAGAGAGAACGCTGGGTTGGACAATTTGTCAAAATGCCTTTGCATCTTAGAGTACATGAGAAGTCTTCTGTCTAGGTGTATGTTCGGATGAGCTGCATTCAAGGCTTGCTTGCTTGTGACATTTCGGAAGAAATGCTCTCATTCTAGCCCCTCCCACTGGGATGTACATGCATCTTAACTTCCTTTATCTTGCATTTCAGATCATCCTCATATTAGATACAGCCCCCATAGAATGCCCTCAGTCATGCCCACCATAAATACACACACACAAAGCCCAGCATAGACCTATGTATCCATCTTTCTAGCACTTTAATCTCCTCGTGGTTTCAGATAGGTTCATAGGTCTGCCACAGCTGGATGTACTGGAACCTGTTTCACTCATAGTGTTGCTGCTCCTTGCAGAAAAGGGGGTAAACGAGAAGGGAATAAATCTGATAAAGAGATGAGGAGAGACATCTCAATGCTGGAAAATCCCACCAACCTTGTGATAATCGCGCTCCATCTCTCCCTAAGTCTGCTCTTATCCAATGGGGTCTTTCTTGCATTCCCACGTGCTCCTTTTCTGAGATTCCCTACATCCTCCCTGATTCCTTACCCTTTCCCTTTCTCTCTTTGCTTCATGATAGTGTGTATCAACGGGTTACTTCCCGAGCATGTCATATGCTTTTAAAAATGTAATAACGCAATCTTCATTCCACACTCTGCTGATGGGGAGCTGAGGCTCCGGTGCTTTCCCAAGCTGCTTACAATTGTGTGTTTCCTCGGCTGTGAAGTGTGAATGTCATTGTCTGCATGGGGCTATTGTGCACACTGACTGAATCACTGGAGAAGGAAGCTCGTTTGTGATGTTTTAAAGTGCTTCAGAAATGTCAGTCATTATTGATATTATGATTCTGTTTTTAATGTGGAAGACGAGAGGATTAGTAGAGAAACACGGTTCCTTCTGGAGACACTAGCTGATAGAGCACATAGAACCAGTTCAAATGACTTTGGAAGCCTGGTCCCTCATGTCTTCCACCATTAGAGGCATCTTTTCTTAAGACTGGAAAGCTTCAGTCAAGACCCTCTCACTTGGGACTGGTGGTGCTCTCTGGTTCTTTTTAGCATGCTTCAAACCACAGAAATTGGGTACATGCCCCCTGATGCCTTCTCTTTGTTCATCTGGAACCTTAAGCTACCAGCAGATGCTTGGCTTGCCTTGGCCAACTCTAAAGTTGCTGTAAATATTACTTAAAATGTGCTCAACTGCTGCCCAGTAAGACACTGACCCCATCCTCTAGGAGCTTATGATATAAGACAGAGACAGAATGCAGATTCACACTCAGGGCACATTCACACTAAAGTACAGCCCTTTATAAATGTACATTTTATATAGAATCCACAGAAAACATTCACATGAGGTTTGGGAAAAGGTAAACCATCATCATAGCCTAGACTAAGACCATGTCTATGAAAATTCCACACCTAAGCAGAGAGAAACACAGGCAGTGACTTCTATTTTTGACTCCCAGTGGCTTTTTCATGCTTTTAAACAAGATAGGGAGAGACTCAAACAGATCATTCTCAAACAACTGACTGAGGGGAAGGAAATCAACCTTTAAGCTTAACCAAGAAACAGATAATAAAATAATAGTATCATTTCATATTCTATGTATTCTCCTGGCAAAGACTTCTCCTTGGGGCTGAAGTGTGACTGGAGAAGAAGGCACTCTGCTTAACTCTGTAGACATTGGAAAAAGTAGATTCTATTTTCCAGATCCTCAGGCCGGCATCTGACTATCTCCAACTAGAAGTAAGTACACTCATGGGTTTAATCTCTTGGACCAGAAAGTAATCCTGAAAGACTTTGCTGAAGTATATGTTTTGCCAAGACGGTCATTACGAAATGAACAACACCAGAAGCCAATGGCCAAGCATCGGAGAATGGCAGAGCACAAAACACTGCACTACCCTGGTAGCAGAACTGAACAGCACTTGAAACAGAGCTCACCAGCCATCCTAAAGATACTGCCCAGTGTTGGCTCTTTTTGAAAAAGGTAAGAAACAAAACTGAGTATGTTGTGAAAGATCTGCTTGTGAAAGTCTAAGCATAGGCTAGAGATAGAAAAATGCTTTATCTTTGGTTGTCTTCTTTGTTCTATTTCTGCCCAGATGTGAATAGTGGTGCAAAGTGCATGGGTTCAAATCCTCACAGAAATAGATACCAACCGCATAGTCTTGGTCTATGTGTCTTAACCTGTAAAATAGTGTTAATGGTAGTTGATGACATCACACTGAGATATTACAAATGTTACAATACAGAATATATTGTTATAAACGATATTTATATAGCATATAATTATGTTCTTTACATTTCAATAATATAATTGTGTACGTATTTGTAAAATGGATAAAATTATAAGTAAAATCACTTTGTCATGAAAATGTAATTCTTAAACATAAAATAAATTTGCTTATGGAGAGTTAAATTTTCAAAAAGGCAAGGTATCCTCCAACAAACAAATGTAAGAATGGATGTAGCCATAGGCAGTAAATGCTATGGAATTAAGGCTGAATTATTGTAATTTCAAAAGCATATCACAAACTAAAGAGAATGGAACATTCTGGGCTCCTTGGTTCCCAGACACTGCATGAGCTAACATGTACCATGACTTTGTCGTTCTTCTCAGTGGGACCCCAAACAAGTCTAAGAGGTTTGAAAGAATCAGAAATTGGATCTGTCAGTTTGGGTCATCCCTTTGACATATCTTGACTCTGGGTCACTCTAGTAAAGCACATGAAAAAGTACTATGGGTACATCAGAAGAAATGATTACCATGGTCTATTGGAATGTAATGTCTCCTTACTGAGCACAACAGACATTTGCTCTCTATAGCCCCATGCTAGCTCTGTTCACATTTGTCACCCATAAATCCTCCTGTAGCACTCCTTCGTGTACCATTACCCTTCCAAGAAGAGAAGGCATTTTTCACTGAGCTCCCAGAGCTCTCCAAACAGGAACATCAATCACTCAGGTGCGACGACAGAGACACTCACTGGCCTTTTACGAAAACTAATTCATTCTTTTTCCTCTCTTCCTTCCTGTTTCTGAGAGGGAGCAGAAATGTCATACACTTCAATCTGTATTCTGGTATTGTGGTGTGAATAAGTTTAAAAGGTTTGTGATACAGCAAAATATACCCAGTGATAATTCCACATAGGATACTGGGCTTTATCTCTCACCTGGGAGCTAGGGAAGGAGAGAGCAAAGAAGACTGTGACTCCTACCTGGGGAACCTGATTGATTTGAGAACGTATTGAAACCCAGAATGTCCCTGCAAGCATGTTTAACTACGCTAATAGTCAATCCAGGAAAGGAGGTGGCCCTTCATTAATGGCTCCTCACTCCCTTCAGGTAGCCAGAACAGAGATGTCAAACATACTGCTGTGGTCAGTTGTGGTCAGTCAACTCAAGGAGTTGTAATAAGTTCTCTTCCCAGTACTACTTCCAAAAAACTAACTACATTAAAACATATTTCCATTAGGATCTTGCCACACATACAAACCTAGGGACAGCCTAACTCAGTTCTCAATGAATGCTTCCTGTATTCCAGTGGATTTCAAACAGCAAATATGGAAAGAGCCTGACTTCTCAGATCCAAAGCAAAATGAGCCAAGACGATAACACATTCTTTGAGTATAACACCTAAGAGTGATGGCAAGGTCAGCCTGTCAGTCAGTCAGTCATGCTTATCAAGTGCTGGGTCAGGTACTGCTGAAGAGACCAAAGAAACAGAAGACTGTTGCTATCCTTGACTGAAAATGGAGTTGGAGCAGACACACAAACCAACATAAGCTGACAAAAAACGCTAGTTATCACGGGTACTTACAGATAGCACCCCTCTCTTTTACAAGTTACTTCACGCCCATGAATGGGAAGGGCAGATGGAGAGTTCATCTCTTTTTACCAAAATTGAAGCTTCTAAAAGGTCAAGGACGTTACTCCCTCACCCTAGTCTCAACTTTGGCAAGTTTATTTTTAATTATAAAAAGATTTGGGGCTAATTATGACAACAATGTAGGCTGGTATAAACAATGAATGAAAGAAATTATCTTTATTTACACAGTTGATACGTGGCCAGATATATTATACGCCTTCACAACTTTGAATTACACACACACACACACACACACACACACACACAATTACTGTGAATTACTGTGTCCTTTTTTTTGCCTGTGAATTTCTTCATGGACCACTACAGTCTGTTCCTACAAGTCTTTTTCTGTACTTGGCACCACGGAGGAAGGGATTTCTAGGGCAGTGCTGCCTAGCAGGACCTTCCATGGGGATGGTAGTATTTGTCTGCACTGCCCAATCTAGAAGTTACATGTGGTTATCAAGCATTCAAATTGTAGCAGGCCATCTTCTACTCAGTTTTAATTGATTCACATTAAAACAGTCACACATGGTTCACAGTACTACATAAGGCAGGGTAACTCTAGAACAATCCAGATTCCCAGGCTTAACCAGCCGTGTTTGAGCAATGTTCCCAATTAAATTCTTGAAAAGAAAGAAAGAAAAAAAACCCCAAAACCACAGAGTTGTCTAAGGGTTGAAATAAAAACCAGATAAATTATTTTAGTCTCTTGGCCTTCAAGATTGTAAGCATATTAGACTGTTGCATCTAGCTGTTCCTTATACATTTCTCACTTCAGTCTTGTGGGAAAGAACCAAAGCAAAATACATAAGTAAGTAAACAATAGTCACTCCACCCCTCCCATCAGGAAGCGAAGTACTGCTACAGGCTAAGCAGCCAGGGAGCTCACCCTGTCTGTAGAGACCTTTCCATTGTGGACAGCAACAGCAGCATGGGGTAGTTTGTGTGACATCCTTTGCGTGCTGTATGCTCTGCACATACCACACCATGGACACAGGAGTGGGAACACCACAGGGAGGTGTTCAGT